AGCCAAGTGCTGACTGATGAGAGAATTTTAAATGAAGCACCTTGACTCGACACTAAGACCCTTGACTAAAACAATTGGTGAACTGTGTTCTTTGGAATGGTTGGCCCAAAAAACGCCTAATTGTCAATCGATTCGAACTTTATAAAATGGTAAATCATAAAGATTTCGTTATCATTGTTTCACATATTTTTATGATTTAGTAAATTTTTATAAATTCATGAATACAAAATTTGTTTACATATTTATTTCTTTATAAATTGTACTAGTTGATTCGAGTTATGAGAATGTTGTGAATATAAAATTCCTCTTGTAAATAAACAATCTAATAAAGAAATAGTATTTAATATATTTGTTGCAAATTCTCAAGAACAAAGAAAATGTATGAATTCATTTTCATATGTTTGGCTTCTAGCGCACCTCGACGTGCTGTCATGGTTAGCAAGCTTGCATCGCCAGAACAATTACGACTGAGTAGGGATTTCGATCCTCAATGGCTACCTCATTCTTCCGACCTTGTGTCACATGTAAGGTACTCTTACGCCACATGTAAAGTATCGCCACACATACATCTATGCTGCTTTCAGCAGGCATGTTCTATGATTGCGTACTGTTAATTCCAAGTATGAAGACTGAGCTTTATTAAAATACTAGCTTAAAAGTCACCCTATCGGGCGGCATTTAAACTAGTTCCCGCGAAGAACTCTTGATTGGGTTTTTATCACAATAGATAGAGAGGAGTAGATGCCATTGTTAGACATTTTCATGACGGTCGTCCTCGAGTATAGAATCCAGAGGTTGGCAGTGAATATTTCGGAGACAGTAGGAAAGCGTACTTTAGGTTCGCAGTGGATATCATAGCAGAGCGTAGTTCATCCTTCTCCTGGTCGCCTTTGGTCCTTCCGGTCGAGGAAACAAGATGGCCGCCTTTATACACGACGGATACAGTGTTGTGCGGCTTCTGATTGGTCAACCTTCTATTGGTTGACTATAAAGGGAAATAAGTCATTCTGACTCGCTCACTAGTTATATGTATAATATACCCAAAAAACCGTAACAGCCATACGCAACAATAAACTACAGAAGAACTCAAAACTGATCGCTGCATTTAAGTACTGTATTAATATTGAAAGTTACCTTTTAAAAGTTCAACGATAATTCTTCTGCCGCCACTTAATTCAATAACAATTTGATGTGCGTAGGTCCTTACTTTCCGTACAAAAATCTATTTTCATTTCATGGGTGACTTTCGCTGGATTTCGCAATTAATTTCGATTCTTCTCAAATTCATTTCTAAGTTATAAAAATTATCATCGTACAAAAAAAAAAAAATCGTCGCAAAAAATCAGGTAAAAAAATCGCCAAAAACTATCGCAGGAATCCAAAGTTTCAGGATTGCAGGTTCGAATCCTGTCCGAAATCTTTTTAATTTGCTCACGAAGTCGATCTGGTTCCAAAATCACATATGTTAGGCTACGGCATCTAGGAGTAAAGTTGAAAAAGTGTGACGCACTGGCATTTGCATTTATTATATAGATGAAGAATGGTTATTCTTAGCTAGTAGAAAAGGTTACTGAATGAGGAATAACCAATGGTTTTTATTAATGTTGTAACCTAGAAATGGTTACTGAATGAGGAATAACCAAAACGGTGGTTGGAAATGAAATGGTAATCTTGAAATGAAATGAAATGAAATGGTAACATCAACAAATTACAATACTCGCCAGCGCCGTGAAGTAGGTAAACCACTGCTAGTGGTGGACTACTTAGACATCATATTACCCTCACTTACAATAGTGTCCAACATATTTATGGGGATTGGGGCCTACCCATTAATGTTCATAGGTACGGTATATAACACCTTCCTTCCTTCCTTCCTTCCTTCCTTCCTTATTCATTGTTCTCTTTATTTATTTATTTCTAATGCCACCATTTCTTTCTTTCTTATTCCATGTCCTCTTTCTTTATTTCTAATGTCATCATTTCTTTCTACCTTTCTTTCTTTCTTTCTTTCTTTCTGTCTTTCTTTCTTTCTTTATTTCTAATGTCCTTATTTCTTTTTTCTTTCTTTCTTTCTTTCTTTCTTTCTTTCTAATGTCCTTATTTCTTTTCTGTCTTTCTTTCTTCCTTCCTTCCTTCCTTCCTTTCTTTCTTTCTTTCTTTCTATGTCCTCTTTATTTATTTCTAATGTTCTTTCTTTCTTTCTTTCTTTCTTTCTTTCTTTCTTTCTTTCTTTCTTTCTTATTCCATGTCCTCTTTATTTATTTCTAATGTTCTTATTTCTTTCTTTCTTTCTTGTTTTCTTTATTTTTTTCTTTCTGTTGTAACCTAGAAAGGGTTACTGAATGATGAATAACCAAAACGGAGGTTGGAAATGAAATGGTAATCTTTATAACTTCAACAGAATACAATACTCGCCAGCGTCGTGAAGTAGGTAAACCACTGCTAGTGGTGGACTACTTAGCATATTACCCCAACGTACAATAGCGTCCAACGTATTTATGAGAATTGGGATATACCCATTAGTGTTCATAGGTACGGTATATAACAATTAAAATTCTAATCATCGCGATTTAAAACAGTAAACATTGACGTAGATGGGAGTCATGGTAGTATAAAATGGTAGCTGTGTCATCAAAAAAAAAAAAGCATAATTTTGACGCGCCGTTTTTGTTTTTTCTTTTCTTTTTCTGACCCAAAGGTTAAACTTTACCGAACATTTTTGTACGTTCGATTCCTGACAAATTCTCGATGAAAAGTAAGACTAACTTCGGAAAGAAAAAAAAAAAGCTAGAATAGTCTTCCGAAAAAAAAGAAAAGAAAAGTAAATAAATAAAAGAACAAGATGAAAGGTGAGACAGACTCTCGGAAATTCTAAAACTGGATAGAAGAAAGGAAGTGAAATATTTCTTGAAGCCATCTGGAAAGACCGTCATAATTATTCGGCCATTAGATAAAAATCAACGCTCTGAAAATAGTGGGTCAATTTGAATATCCTGACGCCTAATTAAAGGCGTCAGTTTCTTCAAGTAAAAGGAAAAAACAAATTCGCCAACTGAAAGATGTTGTTATGAATCTTCCTTGAAAGCAGAGATGGAGTATGGGTGGGGTTGCTGGACCGGTAACCGCAGGCAACAAAAATTCAAGAGACAAAAAATAATGTAATAATAATAACAATAATAATAACAATAAATAAAAAAGGCGCTATTAATATTTTTGACAGCTAGTTGTAAAGGATTTTTTTTTAAAATTATCAGAAATGGACAATAAACCTAAAAAGACTAAGTAACCTTGCAGTATTGTCACACGAGAGAGATTTCATGCACAAAGGCAAATATGTTCCAGTGGTTCTCAAATTTTTCGAAGTCGGAACGCACTTAAAATTCCACCAATAATTGTAGGCGCCCTATATACAAATTTCAGAAAAATATGTTATAATGAAGTCAAATATTGCAGAAAAGAAAATAATGCAATAAAAAAAAATATATAATGAAACATACCTTAAGTTTATTCATTCTTTGTTTTTACGAGAAACATGAGTTTGATGAGTCTTTAGTAGAAACAGAATCAGTGAATAAACTTATACATAATGAGAAAGGAAGGCCTGGAGAATCTGATACTCACGGGTCAAATAGAGGGAAAGAGAGACAAGGGAAAACAACGCATGACATACCTAGCGAGCTTCTTTTTTTTTTTTAATCATTTCACCCCAAGCAAGGCGGGAAGCCACTTGGACGCAAGGGGTTACAGAAAATTTAGAGCAAGGTCAGATAGGAGTGATAGAAGAAAGGATGAGGGTAGTGGATAGATCAAGGCAACTGGAGATGTCGATTAAGCAAATGGATGAAAGAACGGGGTCTGTGAGAAGTACCAGAAGGAAGGAACTTGTTGAGAGCTGTAAGGGATAGAGGGGGGAGGTGGAAAGCCATGATCGCCTACGTCCTGAAAGGACATGGCACATGAAAAGAAAAAACAATGTCAGTTTTAAGTTAAACGCTGTAGAGTTTTAAGTCAAACTACAGTAGAGTTAGTTTAATATTTACGAAACATACTAAAACATACTAAGGGTGGTTCTCAAATTTTTCGAAGTCGAGGTGCACTTGAAATCCCACCAATAATTTTAGGCGCCCTATACACAAATTTCGGAAAGATATGTTATAATGAAGTCAAATATCGCAGAAAAGAAAGTAATGCAATAAAAAAAATATATAATGAAACATACCTTAAGTTTATTCATTCTTTGTTTTTATGAGAAACATGAGCCTGATGAGACTTAGCGATTTCCTCAATGTTTGGGCGTATATTTGATAGGCAAACTCTCATTTCCTCCTCAATACATTGAAGAGTTCCTCTCTTTGTGCATTTAATTTTGGTGAGAGCAGAAAAGCCTAAATCACATAAAGGCAAGACCAGTACCGCAATATAATAAAGTAAATATATTTATTACTTATATCTGGACACATATTTCTCTGAAATGCTTTCACCATTTTAGAACCACTGGTTTAAACAAACATGTATAAATGAATAACTACTACTTAAATACATTCTCTCTCTCAATATATATATATATATATATATATATATATATATATATATATATATATATATATATATATATAGCTCATCACAGTCTGAAGAGTTCTTTTAACCGAAATCCACAGGTTTCTCGAAATTATCATATTTGGCGCTGTTTCTTATCCAACGTAACGTAAACAAAGTCTGAAGAATTTTGTTTAAATGAACGGAACAGGTTTCGGAAAATATCATATCTGCGCTGTGTATATCCAATATAATATAAATATATATATATATATATATATAAATGAACGGAACGTTACTCAAATATTTTATTATTATTATTATATATATATATATATATATATATATATATATATATATATATATACATGTCTGATATTATCTTTTTTTTTTTATTATTATTATTATTATTATATATATATATATATATATATATATATATATATATATATATATATATATATATGAAATATTTAATTCTATCTATCTATCTATCTATCTATCTATCTATCTATCTATCTATCTATCAAGTGGCGGCGAGAGGCGGGAACAGCCGGCACAAATGTGCCGGGCCACGAAATCCGAGGGGGCCTCAAGAAAATATCTTGGGGAGGTGTGGGGCTTCTTTACAAAAAGTAGAGAACAAAATTCCGAATCGGTATTTTAGTGAAAAAAAATAAAAAAATACGAAGACTAAAACCAGTTCCAAAGCATCTTAAAAGTGCATTCTTCGAACAATGATTGAAGAAAAAATGCGCGATGGGTTCCTCAAAATCTAATTCTTGCGCCAAATCACGCTTCTAGATTGCAAGAGTTGCCAACGATTTGTAAGACACGCTGGAACGATTATTTTTTTGTCCCAGCATCTAAAAATAATCTGAGTGCGGACCTCAGAAACTCTCTTCTCGGTACTCTATCTATCTATCTATCTATCTATCTATCTATCTATCTATCTATCTATCTATCTCAAACTGTTTCTATCCATCTATTTCAGTCTGTTTCAATCTATCTCAGTCTGTTCTTATCTATCTATCTATCTATCTATCTATCTATCTATCTATCTATCTATCTATCCACAAACACATATAACCACGTTTGACACAGGCACATACATTAACACACACACACTTTAATCAATATAACACTACGAACAAAAAAAATTAAAGTAGCACATAAATTTAAATCAAATTTAAATAAAAAAAATTAATGAAAATTGAGACGACAGTCAATTGTTGAAACTTCCTGACGAGTAGACTGAACAAATACAAAAAGGGTTCGTCTGTTTTTTGAATAGGAGTAGACATTATTGTTTAGGTAATAAGCATTATAACATAGCACAAATATTGTGGAAAAGGGAATTTTCTCCAATATACGCATTTTTTACGTAATTATGGTTATTTTTTTAAACTTTTATTAAAAACGACATTCTTGTACGTGTAGATATGGATAATATTATACATTAATTACTAATTTTTTAAATTAATAACTATTTGTGCTCTGTTCTTGACATGAAGAGCTATCTGCTAATGTGTTAAAATTTTGGAATAATGCAATAATAAAAAATTAAACTTTATTTCCCTGATAGATGTCGCGATCTGTAAAAATATATAATTAAACATGAAAATTTTGTTTGCTAATTGTTATATGTGCTGTTCGAAATGTCTTCATTTTTCAAAACACATTTGTGCCTGCAGGATTCATTAAAATGTCGGAGAGTTTCCACTGTCATTTTGCTGCATTCATATTTAATTCTTTCTTCAAGTTCCTCAATATTTCTTCGCCATGTCTGATAAACAACTGATTTCAAATTTCCCAACAGAAAAAGATGTATGGTTTTGAAGTCTGGTGAACTCGATAGCCACTCAATGAACTTTCCATAAACCCCGCGGGAATTTTTGCCCCAGTCTGTATTTTGAATGCAATTTTATGCCTTCAACTTCAGATAAAATGTATTGTGTGTCATTTTGCTATAAATATCTATTGTTGGTAATCTTTTAAAAATAAAAATGTATTGCTGGTAATTTTACTATATATATATATATATATATATATATATATATATATATATATATATATATAACCCCCACACAAAAAAAAACACACAACATGCACACAAGGTGACCAAATAGAATAATCAAATCACAGTATATATATATATATATATATATATATATATATATATATATATATATATATATATATATATATATACTTACATTTATATTGAATGCACGCTCACACATATACGTGTGTGTGTGTGTGAGCGCGTGTGTGTGTGTGTGTGGAGACTGGTTCCATGTAGCTTGGGGAAATATATATATATATATATATATATATATATATATGTGTGTGTATGCGTGTATATGTACAAATGCGTTTATAATAGTAAGACATATATATATGGATGGGGGGAATATGCGCACGCATATATACGCGCTTTGACAGAAATACAAGAAAATGGAAACAAATCCAAGAACAAACTAAAACATTAAAAGATAAAACGCCGATAACTAATTCATCATTTCTCTTGGAAACCTGAATTTTTTATGACCCTTCGCGCAGAACTCTTCATTGTCAATTCAAGAAAGACAAGGATATATATATATATATATATATATATAAGTATACATATGAGACAAGTATGGAGACATGTGTTCTCTCTGTGTATGTGTGTAAAGATGGAAATATACATATATCGTTTCGTGGGAATGTATGTGTCGGTGTATATAGGAACTCATAGGCATATGTGTGTGTTACAAATAGGGTTTACATGTGTAGATAAGAAAATATTCCACGATTTTACTTAATGAACAAAAAACAAAAAAATCAAACGAACAAAAATCAAACGAATAAATGTCAACCTAACAAGCTATAAGATAAAAGCTTTAGTGAAAAAAGTACTAAATATAAATTGGATTACTTTTTCAATGTTCTGTCTATAGATCTTTCCAATCGACTGCTTCATAGGAAATACCCAAAACTCCACCGAATTTCAAATTAATTTCTTCGTAGATTGTTTTAAAATTGTAGATATTTATTAAACCTTAACCTCCCAAATATGCACGTTAAAGTAACGCGAACTGACAGCGTCTAGGAATTTGAATGAAACCTGTCGTGTAATTTATTGGGGCTGTTGTAACGCGTCTTCCTTAATGTATCCCTTATCGCTCACCCCTTAACCACCTTTATCTAGAGACGAGACGCGTTAGATTTGAGCAACATCCAGCCGACACACTGGGGTTAAAATAGGAAACTAAAATGATACATATAACACACTCATATCCTCTCTCCCACCTCACCTCCTCACTTCGCTAACTTTGCGTATACTTGATGAGGTCCGTAAAAAACATGTGAATTTCTTTTCATTTTTCATTTCAGCTTTTGGAAGTAAAGTCTGATGATCCAGAACCCTGTTAAAGGGGTTATGGTGAAATAGCTTATTACATGGAATCTTAACGTGGTCTGTTTTTTTTATTATATATATAATATAATATATATATATATATATATATATATATATATATAAGAAGAAGAAGAAGAAGAAGAAGAAATATAATTTTTAAGGTGTGCTATATTTATGGGATAAAGTACTCAATGTCAGAGATAGAACGTATGTAAATATAAATATAAAAGTGAACATTAAAGTCAACACTCAAAGGGGAATACAACTGTCCCCCGTCAAAATAACAGAATAGACTACGCCAATCACTCTAAAGATTGGACGAATAAATAGCTTTAATTATCTCCCCAGACCAAAACAAACTATTAAATAAGCGACCTAAGCAAATCTACGTTAATAAAACATCGAAAACCAAAAAGAATAAATAAGTATATAAAATGGATCTTTCTTCGCCATGTCTGATAAACAACAACTGACTTCAAATGGCCGCACAGAAAAATCGAAGAGTGACTTCGGTGACCACTCAGCAAGACCTCTTCCACCTTTACCTTAGCCCCTATGGTGCGCGACTCTTGAATACACACATACACACACAGAATATATATATATATATATATATATATATATATATATATATATATATAGGGTGCGATGGATAAATTTTCGTCTAAATTACGCAAACATGAAAATAACACTGACATCTTATTTTAACATATATATTTACCAAAATTACACAAAAATATCTTGAAATAACGAAAGAGCAAATTTATTCGATAAGAGCGCCATTGTCTTCAACCACGGTCTCCTTACGACTTCGGAACCATCTGCAACTCTTTTGGGGAAGTGCTGTCCGGGGAGTTAATTGGCAGAATGTAAGGGGTGCTGTAGTCGTAGAAACTGTCTGACAGTCATGACTGGGTTCTCCTGCTTGTGAGGCATGTCGCAGTGTCCTGTTACCAGACATAGGGTCTCACATCAGCCACCCTACTGACCCAGGACAACACTACCTCCTCAAGGCGCTTGATGTAGGACTCTGTATTAAATCTGAGACCCTCACAAACAAATTTACGAGTTTTCCGAATTGTCGTAACTCCGTAATCACCATTAGAACTACGCCAACTCTTTCTGCATCTTCTGCACTGTCCTCAGGTTGACACGCAAACACTCTGAAATGGTCGTACTGGAGCTTCCAGTGCGAATGCCAAGCAGTACAGCATGCAGTTTCCGAATTTCCGGCGGAGTGAATTGCGTCAGGGTGCTCTTTTTCTCGAAGACGGTGCCCAACTAACCTTACTATAACTGTGTCGTCGACAAAATCAGAATCAAAATCTACCAATGCGCATGTGCGAAATTAAAAATATCAAATGGTGACAATTTACCTATCGCAACTTATATATATATATATATGATTTGTGTATTTGGGCAGGAATCCCTAATTTATACAAAATAAAACGACTGACAAAGAAATGCGGTTAAGTTTTTTTATTTAATTTTTCTTGTGTTCTTATATTTTATTTTTATATGTTATTTATTTTACTTTACTTGTTGGCTGCGGGGTCACGTAATTTAATAATTGTGTATTTGGGCAGCAATTCCTCTTTTATAGAAGTTTCATTAAAAAATATAAGAACACAAGAAAAATTAAATTAAATAAAAAACGTAGCAGCAGTCCCTTTCCAGTTTTTAATATATATATATATATATATATATATATATATATATATATATATGTATGTGTGTGTGTGTGTGTGTGTGTGTGTGTGTGTGTGTGTGTGTGTGTGTGTGTGTTAGTATATATATATATATATATATATATATATATATATATTTATATATATATATATATATATATATATATATATATATATGTGGGGTGGAGGCGTCGAAGCATGTCGATATTCAGTTCTTCACGACGTCTGATTATTGAAAATGAGGATTTCCTTGATATTTTTACCTCAGTTAACGGTGTACCGCAACCTTAATAAGTCCAGGTTTTGTCATTACTTTACCGAACTCACCTGCCTCCGTCACATTCCACTACCCACTACTACACGAAACCCCTCCCCAATATGCACCCCCCTTCAACATTTGTGTCTGATTCTCAAGACTCATTAGTCTACTCGGTAATTTTTTTTTTTTAACTTTTTTCAGATGGGCCGTGGCTTTTGAGAAACGGTTAGAGGAGGAGGAGGAGGAAGGAGAGGGGGAGGAGAGGGGGAGGAGGGGGAGGGAAGAAAACCAAAATAGTTGTGTGTGTGTGTGTGTGTGTGTGTGTGTGTGCGTGTGTGTGGAGGGTGGAGGTTAAGTCCCCGGGGCACGTGGATTGCACATGTACGTCATCTGAACGGTGGCGGGGTCTCGGTAAAGTAAGGCGGTGGGTGATAGGTTGACTGCGGTCGTCGCCCAATAGAAGGGGGAAGAGTCGTGCTCGGCGGCATGACTCTATAGGCGGGTCGGATGGCGGGTGCGTGTTTCGATAAGTAACGCGAAGAAAAACGCAATCATCTTGCGGTTACACAGACACACACAGAGACACAGGTACACACTTATGCACGTAGAAAGTAGTCATTCATCGGGATACACACACATACATACAGACATACATATTTATATAATACAGCACAAACAAACGCATGAGCACGCACAGATATATACATACACACGCATATGCATACACATATATATTAACACAT